AGGGAGAGGGAGGGGGGAGGGGGAGAAGAACTGTGGTAGGAATGTAAATTGGAATTTTAAAAAATAGAATTAAAAAACATTTTAGTTGGAAATATCACAATGCAGGGGATTAGTCCCTGCTCACTGCTACTGTGGATGCGATAAAATAATGTGATAAAAATAGGAAAAATAAGTGAGGTGATAAAAAAAAAAACTTAGCTGGAACCAATATAACGTCAGTCATAATTATTAGCATTCTGGTACTGGTGTCAGACCCTGTGTGGAATTCAGACAGGAGATGGGGACCGGGTGGAGGAATGAGGCAAGGAGGAAACGGAGCAGAAGAGATAAAATTGACAAAGGGGCGCGGCTCGGGCTCAGCTGGTAGAAAATTGCCTAGCGGGCCTCCATGTCAAGAGCCGCACAAATGGTGGCAGCCACCAAGTAACCCAGGAAGAGAGGGGTCTGAGGGATGAGAATTTCAAGCTCATTTGCAAGCTATAAGGAGGGTTCAAGGTCACCTTAGTCCAGAAGATTCTGCCTCGTGAGATAATATACGACTGAAATGCATTACATGATCTTAGGAAAACATTGCAATAAAGCTATTTACGTTTTACATAATTAATGTTACTGTTTAAAAGAAGGTAGCAGGTGAAGGCACCGATACACGAGCCTGAAATCCTGGGACAGTGGAAGGAGAAAAACGACTCCCCAAATTATCCCCTGGCATGTGCACCTTGACAGACAAATCTCAACACATGCACACAATACATACTAAAATGTATTCTCTGAGTATAACGTGTAACCTGAGTGGTCATCCTCGCAGTCGTGACCAGGGTAAATATCCGTGATGGCAACCTCTGCTGTCACCTGCTCGCTGCACATGGGAGATGGCATTTTGAGTAACAGGGCAAAAGACCTTCCACCGCAAAGTCTCCGGGATACCACGTAATCCTGCAATTGGCAGGTGACCTCGGCAGCAACTGCCACTGACCCCACAGACCGTTGGCCAACACTCACTATCTGCGCATGCGTGCCTCGGGAAGAGGGGGAGTAATTGCCATCTCGGGGAGCCAATGAGATTGCAGCGATTCTCCAGACTTATCCAATGGAGTTTGCAAAGGGTTCTCAGAAGCCAATGGGACGTCGAGTGTATTGTGTGGCCGAGGGTGCCTCTTTCAGGGACCCTGGAGGAGACAGACACGAGACAGGAACATATCAGGAAGCACCTTCCAAGCCCTCGATCTGGTGAGGACACTCTGGAGACACAAAGATTCTGCTGCTTAAAAAGAAAAGCAGCAGTGAGAGAATAATCCCCGGGACCTGAGGAAAGAGGCCAGGGAGGATGAGACAGGGAAAGACAGGGAAGGGAGAGACAGTCTTGAGGCTGAAGGAGGAGCCTGGGCCTGGAATCCTGGTCCTCGAGAGGAGGGGGTTAGATATGTAGGCCTGAGTTTGAAAACAGAGACTAAACTCTTGGGTCTGAGGGAAACTGGGCCCTGGAATCCCTAATCTAAAGGACGGGGGCTTTGATTTTAGGAAGCTGGGATTGTTCTCTGGGTCTGGGATCTCAAAATCTCTGTTCTGGACGTTGTATCTCTTGGAAGCCCTGGGGAATAGATGGCCACCCATGACCCCGCGGTTGCTATACTTCATGGCAAGGTGCTGAGTTTTCTGCACTTAGTCCTGAAGATAGGAACTGGGTGACGGGAATCTTAGGTCCTCTGGGGTGGGAGGAGCAGAAACCAGATGTCACATTCCTAGGACAGACAAACCACAGCCCTCAGAGTTCGAGTTCTGGGGGAGCTGGGTTCTGAGAGCCGAGATCCTGAAGCCTGGAGAAGGTTCTGAGACTTGGAATCTGAAGTCCTGAGGCTCAAAGCAGAGGACTTCCAGGCCCTGCAGCTAGACACTGAGGGAACAGAGTTGCAGGATTCTTGGTGCAGAGAAGCCATGGATGAGACTGAGAATTGCAGCCATAGAATATATAACTTCCAAACAACTCCGGACATACTGGCTTCACATTCAAGTATACCCTAGAGTAAGCACAGGCCAGAAACAAAGACAACCCTGTCTGTCTGTCTGAATTGTCTTTGGTCTCCATCAATTCCCAGGTCCTGATTGGCTCTTCCCAACTTGAGAGAAGCCATGGCAGCCTGCTTCACCCACTGTTTACTGCTCGTCTTCCTCGTGGGCTTCACGCCCTACTGGGGTAAGTGTTATGATAAAGCTTAAGGGGACCTTGTATGGGGGACCTTGGACGATTCCATGGCAGGCGAGGGTGACCCAAGGCGGAGGGACAAACATGCCAGGCAGACAGAGCTTAAATGAGAAGTTATATTAGAAAGGGGATGGAAAGGAAGGAAAGAGGTAAAGAGACACAGAGACAGAGAGGACAGAAGAGAGGAGGAGGCAGGAAATGTCCTGTCTGCCCCAGGGGAACAGCAGGAAAGGAGAAAGAGAGAGTGGGAAGAGAGCTGGAAAGGAGGGGAAGGGAAACATATGGGCAGTTAAGAGAGCATAAGTTGGCGGGGATCTGTCTTTTAATGGGGTCCTTTGAACCTGCTTGCAGACTAGTACCCACGGAACCCTGGGCTAACCGGAGTACTGCCTGAGTGCATTGTAGCAGGCGACAGGGACAGGCCAGTGTAATGCCTGAATCTAAGGGACTCAGCCACAGAGAGTGAGACTTAGAATGTGTTGGCTCCCTTAGCAGAGAAGGGGGGGGGGGACAGCATAAGGGCTCCCTGACTCTCACAAACTCAGGTGATTTTCCTCTCCACAGGTACTCTGAAATGTTACAGTGGGAACATAGTGGAATTTGGTGGTGGCTTCGCTCAGGAAACTGTTAAATGGTCTCCAAAGGACACCATAGAAACTGGACCTAATGAGACATG